ATCGTTTGAGTTTACGCTACGTTTAGCACGCTCATATTTTTTACATTGAGGCGTCAAATAATGGGCTGAACAGATGACTCTCAGTTCCCCCTAGCTAACTTGATGAAAAATGATCTGCATCTAATGGAAGAACAAGCGTTTGATTGGGATGTTGCAAGTGTAGTTGTGCAAGTCATAGGTTAATTAGTAAATCAAAGTGAAGTTCTAGGCGAGGAGGCGGTGCCGGGCGTGGTAGTTGTATGTGCAGCCTCTGAATACATTAGTCTGTGTTGTGTTTGCTCGCCACGACCGAGCCACATGGCGACGCGCCGCTCTGTTTATTTTAATACTCAACCATTGTTGCTTGCCACTGTTTGCCGAGGGAACTGTATTAAACTACCCCTTACGGATTTGAGTGAGGAGACCTGCTACGAGAATTAACTTGCAAGCTTAGCATCAAACGTTTTTCAAAAATGAAATGATCCTTGTGGACATCTGTGTAGAATACGTACCTCTATTAAAGGTTGTGCGATATGCTTTAGATTTTTTTATTATTGGTATATTAGTCCATTTGTTTCAAACACATAGTACTTAATTCAAATTATTTAAGCTTTGTTACAATATTTTCACCAACAAAACTGTATAGGTACTTCATTACTTATATAGTTAGTCTTGAAAAAAGGTGTAGGTGTATGTGTAATTATGATTGAGCGAAATATACAAATGCAAGACTTCATTCGTCGTAATGTTATTGAAACAAGCCGAGAATAGAATGTAATCCATTATATTTACACATTTGTTTGAAAGACTTGTCTGCGTTACGTTAATGAATAATGAAGACCAACAAATGACTAGGATTTTGGTTGTAAAAAATCTTGTAGAATTATGGACAATTTAGAATTTGTTGTTCACTATAAAATATGGAAAAGAGAACATATCTGTTAAGAAATTAATAATAATACCTACGTAAAGGTTCCTACGTATGTTGAATCATTGATATACCAGTGGTATACTTAAACTAATGCCTTTGCTTTACCTCTATTAAATTAAAACGAACCGCTTCCTATGCAATAACTTTCAACTGAACTGATTTATTATAAACACTAATTCCTGCTTACAGTTGGTAAGACTACATTGATTCTAAAAGTAGTTTGTTTTACTATTACTGACGTAAAACAGTAATTCCATTTCATTAGCTGCTGACTTAAAATACTGTGAAGGTATTGCCAAAAACCTTTGAGTAGTTACTGCACCCGACAAGGTCATAAGTATTTACTATTCGATGATTTATTTTAATGTTTTCTTGTAAATAATTACGTGCAAAATTAACGGTAATAAAGCTAATTAGTTTGGCATCACTCAGGGCAGTAAACGTCTAATTTATCAGTCTCATCAACACATCGCTTGACAGATGCTCCGGCCAACTTTATAGATTTTATTAAAAAGTTTAATATATGTCTGTAAGCACTCACTGCAACTAAAACTTCATGATTTATGAATATTATATTGGTATGTACTAAAAAAAAAACACAATTTTCTACTGACAACAACACCAAGTGATAATGTGCCACAAGATCTTTCTTCTTATACCTAATTCGAAAGAAAGAAAAAGTATTTATTAAGCACCAGATACGATGTAGCATAAATAAAATATAAAAAAGACAATAAAGGTGTGACCGTGGAAGTAAGAAAAACATTGAGTTGAAAAATTAAAACAGATGAATTAGAAGAGAGACGCTGACAATATGCCTATGCTAAAAGGGTGACCCACTCAGTGTAAGCCAGGCATACAAGTCACCCAGCACTGATTTTCAGTGAGCCCATGCAGTGACGCACGGGTGGTAGCATGTACTTATATTTCACGTGAAATGTATAACTAGATATCAAGTACGAAGGATATATTTCAGAGAAATGAACCGGTCCTTTCTTGTAACCATTGCAATTGGAAGAGCACATCTATAGATATAAAAATGAATGTTAGTTTGTTAGTCTCGCTAAAATTAAAGAACAGCATAACCATTTTTGATAATTTGTTCTTGAAATGTTAGTGGGAGTTTTTTAGGCGGTACGAAGTTTGCGGGTCAACTAGTAACTATTTATATATTATACCAATTTAATATAAAAAAATCATTTCTTTCCAATTAAATATCACCGTATCAATGTTCTATCAATTTACGACAGAGAATATTGTATTGATTTTACGATAATTACAATTCATTGTATGGTCACGTATCTTATGGGCTGTGCATCTGCAGCGCGGGAGCACTTGTGTTTAATTACATTTGCCGGCAGCACCTCGCGCGCCGCCCTCTCGCCGCTCAATTCGGTTCATTTGCAAAGTGCATTTCGATGCTGTGCTCGATTGTCCCAACTACCTACCCTTAATTGCCCGGCCGATATTTATTATTGCCGTTTGTTTGTACATTTACGTGCCCACTGTACATCGAAAACCATTTGATTTATGAGTACAAAACTCCACTCGTTAATTCGTTTCGAGGGATCACCTGCACACAATCATTTTATGGCCCATATCGGTAGAAAAGTTGAGCGAAATATTTACATTAGGGGCACGCATCACATTCGATAAACATCGCAACGAATTCCTACAAACACATCGGCGGACGTTTATTTGCCTCGGGCATACGCTCGGCTTCACTTCGACTTCACATTCCGCTCGCCGTCGTATCGGTACTCATTTGTATTGGCGGCGGCTTTTGTATTATTTGTTTGTTTGCGGATGCCGCATACGTTGTGGGAGCTTTGATTTTTTCCAATTCGGAAATAATGCGGAAGGCGTGGTGCTGGGGGCGATCGGGCTCGCCGTGACTCCGGCTCCAATCAGCCGAGCCGTGTGTTCGTTAGTCGCCAGCGCCGGCGAGCCTTGCCGCTTGGTTAGGCCGGGCACGTATCTACGTGGGACCTTTCCACTCCGCAGCACTGATTTTCTCTTAGATCCGACGAAATGATGAACTTCAGCAATCTTCGACTTCATTTGTTGAACAAATCTACCGCGAAATACTACACGTGCACTTGATTTCTCTGTTTAGGTTGGATTGTAGTATATTTCATATTTGATTTGTTATTTCACTAAATCAAGAAGTGGATCTGAAAATATATTCAAAAATTTCAAAACTATAGTGGTTTGGAGAGCAATGTATATCAATAAGCAAATCTTAAAATGAGGACTGTTATTAGAGACATCCATTTTGAGATTAAGATTTAATAAGACAATTATTTATTTATTCAATAGTACACAAAACAGAAACATAGTAAACAATATGATGATATTGTTTACTATGTGTAGTTGATGTAACTACAAAGCTTAACAATGACCTATATTCAAAACCGTCTGCTGTAAATACAGTAATAGACAAACAAATTGCATTATGATCCTTTTTAGCAGTTGAAATAATGAGTCGGTATAAATTATTCTGCACCTACGTTATTTTTACTATTAGTTTACTTTAGGGACTGCAGTGAACCTTGTCGAGTGTGCGGTCGTCTTGCTGGCGCGAACGTCTTGTAAATCATAATGATGTGTATGAAAGGTAACGTTTGTTGGTCGGCGAGCGGGCCGTATCATTACATTAGTTCTATAACGAGATCAAGCGGCGTCAATATGTCATGTGTGACATGACGTGGCCCTCGTTGCAACGCGGTGACACGCGGATGTGCTGCGCTCTCCAGCCGCCACCTGTGCACACACTGACATACGACCAACTACCTACATGAGACAAAAGTAGCATCCATACATCTTGTTCCAATGTCAATGATACATGCTTTGCAGTTAGTCACACCACATGTTTGCCACTACTGAATTCCATACACATAGGAAAACTGTCATAGTATCTGTCTAAATATTAATAGAGTAGCAGTCCAGCTTTGGGAATCTTCCGACATAGTTCTAGTGAAACAGTAATAAAGTATTCGAAATGTTTCTAGAACACAGGCAGGTCATTAACGTTTGTCATGATCACTGCCAAGGAGAATTTACGTAGAAATATGTAGGCGGCGAGTAATTATTAATATTTGTTTGTGTTCATCATAATAAACCAATTAGCAAGAACCAAGTTTATGTTGACTCGTGATGTCTCTGAAGTCACACGAAGAGCGTAGGGGTATATAGTTATTACTTAAAAATAAGACTAATTTTGTAGTTTTTTAAGACCTTAACTTGAACGGCTTCTAATAACTCTGTTATTTGAAAACTGATGCAAGAATTAAAGGCAGTGTTATATTTCAATACATAGTAAAGCAACTAATTAGGAGCGTGTATGCATTACCGTGTAATTAAGCAATGTACGAGTCAATCTCAGCGATAGCAGTGAAATGAAGAAATATGTATAAAGGTGAGCAAACATCATCAGCGAACTGCGATGTTCAAACAATGGTGCGTGTGATTGTGCAGGTCACAGAGTAGGCGGGGCGGGAGCGGGCGCGGCCGCGTATGTCGACCGAATATTTTTTACTCTGTGCTCAATCAGCGCCAGTGGCAGTTGCAATTATCTTTCGCACCAAATCGAATTATGATCAATTCGGATTTGCGCGCATCCGAACGAATATAAAACGGTTTGCATTAAAATTTGGCGCTCGATGCATGGGATGCGTTCCCATTAGTCCGGTCGAGCGCTAACTTTGTTTGCTCATTCGTGCCCACGTCCGTTCCTGGCGTTTTCATTATATTTTTATTGTACGTTTTCGGTTTTGTTTACGATGCTTTTTGCTTCATTGCTGTTCGGATTTTAATTATGAGTATACCTGTTATCTGTTGGTGGTACTAGATAAACAAATCGTTATCGCGGTGTGTATTCTATTAAAAGAGTTTGCACATAACCATTCCCTAGGTCTATGTATGTATGTATGTATATAAATATATATTTCCTGGTAAAGTCTACAAGCTTGGGTAATTTGGAACTCAGACATCGGCTAAAATTATTTTTCAAGCTCAATCTCTAAACTCATTACCACCTTTCGGAAGTCTTCAAGCGCGATGGTCTTAATAGAGTAATTCATATTTTCAGGTGTGGTTCCAAAACCGGCGAGCGAAGTTTCGCAAGCAGGAGCGCTTAGCTCAACAGAAGGCGGGTGAGGCACCTGTGAAGGCGGAGGGCAAGAGAGACAAGCCGACGTCGCCCGCAGCATCGCCCCACCCGCCGGCAGCGCCCGCGCCGCAACCCGCACACCACGCATTGCCGCATCTATCACCACCTGACCTCAAGCCTATCACGTCAGCAGGTAGATATCGTAAGTGGTTCATTATTTAAAAATCTCACTACATAGCCAATACCGATTTTCTATTGAAATACTTATGACACATTGTCTAACAACGTTGTCAAAAAATTTTAAATGAAATTGCAATGTAAATAGTTTGTACAAATGAAAGTTGTGATTGAAAAATTGGTTTTGTGACAATGAAACAATGTTTTGTAAATATTTGATTAGACATCATTCAACACGAGCAGCTTCAGAAATAATTAATCTTCACAAAGATTGTGTGTCTTGATCTCTTGCCAAGAATGGCTTTAAAATTATGTATATTTTTTTGGTATTTACAGTTTAGGGTTTAATAGCTATTGATGGTATTGCAAGCAATATTTACATCTGGACTCCAGGTCCTGAAGCAAAGTAATCTTTTAATGTCGAGTTTTACGGTACCGCATACATACCGTGACATAATACATTATTGCTCTATAGGTCTCCTTTACATAGTCTCTCGTTTGATGGGCGGTTTGTAGGTTGCAGTTTAAAATCTGAAATCGCCGTTGTACAGTCTCTGGCATGTATTGAGCACATACACGAAATGGTCATAACAAAATATCTCCCGTCAAACCATGTTTGTCAAGTATGAAAAATATGTACATACTGTGAATACAGTTTTAGGATATTACTGAAGAAAGTATAATAAACCATTTTTTGTCTGGCATACCAGTGGTAGTGACGCGAACGCAGTGTTTACCTTACTCCCGGAGATGCTGACGTCACGGCCCGATTTAGAGGATTACAACATTAAGTCACATTTGATCGACTATTCTTGTAGGATGTCGATGGATACTTTGTTTGTATTTTTATTTCTGAAATACGGATAAATTGTGACGTAAAGTGTACCTATTGTGTTTACTTGTGTCAGGCATACTGTATCCCGAAAATCAGAAAAAAATTTAAAAATATCAAAAAAATAATTGATTATAATTTGTTCATAAAATTATCAATAAATAATGCGTTGTTCTGTTCACAGTTTTATGGTATCCAACCAAACATATTTACAAAATTATTTAATACTGCACACATGAACCTTATATTTTCATTTCTCTTTGTTTCACCAATAGGTACACTATTACACAGAAATTAATTACTAATAGTGTAGTAGTAGTATCTTACAGTGGTTAATCTTTAGAAACTTGTGAAAGACGGTTCCCTGATACATAGGTTGAGCACATACTCAAAGACAGCATGAGCACAACTCATCAACCTGTTATTTTTCTTAATTTTATTTGTTTCAGCTATTTAAAGTATTAATTCATTACATTTTACATACGTTGTAAAAGTAGAATGAATTATTACTAGCTGATCTGGACTTTCACGAACATTTCGACACCAAAATTAGCCAAATCGGTTCAGTCGTTCTCGAGTTTTAGCGAGACTAACGAATGGAAATTTATTTTTATTTATATAGATTTATAGTAGGAATAAAATAACGTAGGAACTCTGAGTGATTTACTAATAATGTGAACAGTTTTTCCAAATTGCAACGTGAGTACAGTTGAATAAATTAGTTCGTTAATATGGCCGCTTGACATTTAGTATCCGACATTTAGGAATATTCGTGTGAATCCTAATTTAATTCTATTTAATTTCAATTGCGCGAAAATTTTTACGTTTTATGTTTTGTCTTCAACGTGACTCAATGGTTATTTCTGTTATTTTTTGGCAACCATAGAGGTAGATTGAAATGTACCTTTTTATTCTAATGAAGTAAATAATGATCTGCTTCAGGATACAAGATGTCAACTTTTGTTACTAATTGATGGTAGGTTTTAAATTAATGAGAACATGTAAAACCTACCTATACGCCTACTGTTGCACATCTCTGCATCACCCCATGGTTGACTGTTAGAGAATGCCACCCGGCATTAAGTCCGCCATCGTATGTTTGCTATACAGAAGTGTTAATAAATAAATAAATAAATAAATAAATAAATAAAAGTTTAAAAGTGCTGAAGCTTTCTCGGAAACAAACGACAAATAACACTTAGGTAATACCTACGTCTCAACGCTTCGTCTCATTTAGACAGATTAATTACTTACAACGTACTTTGTAGCTAGGGATACAAATCATAGAATATAGTAATTTAACATTGAGAAATTTTTAACTGTTTTCGAGAAAATATATAAAATATCTTGTTTTTCTTCAGGATATTTTCGTTCCAATCGTGATGTCACGAAATATTTTTGGGCAACATATCTTTCCAATGTTACATTGATCGTTGAAATTATAGCCGAGTGAGTCATAGTGGTCGACCAATCAGAGAACTGGACGCACTATTTCAGCTCACATGTTTACGTGGGCGAATACAACAAGGCTGCTTTCGACAAAATATATACAGCACTTCGAATTAGTGGATCTTAAATATAGAACGGTGATTGTATTGTATGGTTATTAATACAATGCTGCACGCCTTAGGAATGTGGACCGAAAACGTAAGATCTTGTTCTAATTTCAATAAAAAAGGTTTGTTAATTCTTCCATACGTCAATATCATATTTTATTACCCTTAGAAGGTTTTCTAATCTCTTTATGTAATGTTGTGTAACAATACTGACAATAGTTTAGTTTCCACTACGTTTATATTATTTTCTTGGTTAACTGGGTCGTAAATAAATAAACATATATAACGGTATACATTTAAAGAACATGTAACGTTGATTATTCTATTAAACTTTTCAAATTTCATAAAAAAATTTTTCGTAAAAATAAAAATGTAGGTACAAGCAGTCGTATTTGTCCATCCATATGTGCGGAGCTTTACAGTGAGCGCAAGACCAATTTACCATGAACTTGGTATTGGTTTAGATAAACAAGTCTGCTACATCTCTCAACAGAAATAGAACCTGTATAAATCGTATGTTACTGCTGTAAAAGATTATTTTATCAAATCACTTAAACTTTTTTGGTGCAATAGTCTGCACAATGTTAGATCACTCATCTAGAAGTTGTATTCTAAAACATTGGTATTTGGGACAAGGTCCATATTCCTGTGACCACGGTCAACTTACTACGTGACCTACTATCTATACGTAGATACAGAGCGCTAGATTCGAACCAACTACTAAAATCAAGACAGGCAAATAAGATTTAACTAACCATGTAAAGCCTTTCATGACTAAACCATATTAAGTCAGATAGTCAGAACATAAAAGCAAGATTTATGCAGATGTGATCATCATCCGGGGTTGTATAGGCCGAACTAGGCACAGTGGTTTACCGGCTAATGGCGGACTTGTGGTCGTATTAATCACATTACGCCAGCCGCCGCCACCGCGCCAGATTTTCACTTCGGCTCATTTGCGCTAATTGTGCGCGCGATTGTCACTCAGGCTTGAATAAACAACGGAGCCGCGCAGCAAGGATTAGGTGATTAGCGCTTAATTGTGTTACCACGATTATTTCATGTTCGCCCGTCGAGCTGCAGTCTGATTTCATATTCGGGCAGATTTGTGTGCACAAGTTTTGCTTGTTTAGATTGAGTCGTAAGATTACCACCCTCGGTTTCTACATATAGTATAGGTTATCGATGCTCGGCTTCCAACGACTATTGTGTTAAATGGACCTGAAGATATTGAATATTATTTGTTTATATAGGGTTCTAGTTTGTTTACGAGTAAAACGATTATGCTAATGATATGTTTATGTGTTGTGCAGCAAACAAATTGTGCGAGGAGCTGAACGGCGTGGGGGGCGACGTAGGCTTGCCGCCTGTGAGTGGCAGCGGCGGCGGCAAGTGGACCGGCGGCTGCGGGCTGCTGCGTCAGCCCTCGGGCTTCCCACTCCTCGGCGTCGCGCCACCCAATTACCTACTGTCGGACCACCTCGGAACCCTCGCCAAATCGAACAACCATCTTTTCTAATGGGCGTAACATCGTCGCCCTGAGTCACCGTCCGTGGCGCGTCGACGAGTCCACGGGGAGCGAGCCGCTGTTTCGCCCGCACCGCGACCAACCCGCTCTCTGCACCCACAACACTTGCATTTCATTAACATTCCTCATTACATTGTGCCAAGTGAAGACTTTACAAAGTGATATCTAAAAGACGAGATTTTGATCGTGTGTAAAACATTCAAGTGCCAATTCGTGTCCATTAAAGTATGTATTGTCGCAATAATGACAAACGGTCTAAATCGATTTTTAGATGTATTTATTGTAACAAAGCAGTTGATCGTACTACAAGTTGCCTGTTATATGTACACGGGTGTTTAGTTTTAGATAGTTTACGGTAATGAAGATTTTGTGTGATACGATTGTAAATAACATTCCGATTGTATACGTTTAATAAAGGTATACTGGTTCAGTGAACTATTGAAGTAAACGAATATTATGTCATTTTAAATGTTGTCCTATGAAGTTATGGTGTATTTTATTCGTCGATACCTAAATGAAATAATGAAATGTAATTAGTACTTAATTCAATCGCAGTTTGAAATATTTCCACGAACTGTTACGAGATTGTGTCTTTGTATTTATTCTAGTCAGAATGAAACTAGTTTATTTTAAAGCAGATAAATGATTATTTATTGATTAAGAGTATAGGTAATTAGTTCTATATATTAGCCAACAACCTGGAGTTGGCTGTGAGCGATGTAAATATGTAACAAATTATTTGTAAATACTAGATATAATAGTGGTGTACCCGAGTGTATGTAATTATTGATGAATTTGTGGAGGGTGTTTTAATAAAGCAAACAATAAATCGTGTTACTTTGTTTCTATTGACTACCTTGTGTCATAACACTATTTAGGAATTCAATCGTTTACAAAATCAATATTGGTTTTTTAAATCAATGTTTTCTTTATATACAATGTCATTGACATATGTTCATAATGATATTGCAAACCATTTTTTTTATCATTCTGTATTACGCTGATGATTTAGTTTGAGGTCTATTGTCGTGAATGTTAAGAAATATCTTGTGTAAACATTATGTTCAGAATTACCTGCACAATGAACAACACTTCCCTCAAAGCCGTTCTGTTTACAAACTGTATGAGTTGTTTATTTAAATTTAGGTCATCATACAATGTTTCAGGCGATTTCAGTCCTTGACATATTTCGTTTGTTGATCATTTCCGTTTTTAATTCTATGATGACATTCATGTGAGTGAATTTTGTGAACAAACCAAAAATATTTTCAATATTTTAAATTAGACAACTTACATACGAAACTTATTCAGATTACGCTTAAAAGTGAAATTATAAAACCTTTCAGACATACCTCAGACTTTTAAGTTTTTCAAAGCAAAGTAAAAGCCGTACCTCAATCCCTTGAAAAACTATAAAATACTTATACTTCACACACAAATTTCTAGAATAATCACAACATACACAACCGAAAATAACACAGTTGGAGACCAATGCCCTTGGTTTCACAGCAGTTGAGGTCAGTGGAGTACAAGACCGACCTTCTAGATGGAGAACATCGGAGAAAAAACCAATCCAGCAAATAAAGTACCTAAGTATTTATTCGGCATGCCATAACTACGAGTGATGTGCCTTGAGTCCGGTTATAGGCCAAACGACCTTCGACGAAGGGCCGACGCACTCTCTTCTAAAATGAAAACGACATTGTTTTTTCTGTAGACGGTTCTAGCTAAAATATTACTGTAGATATACGTAAACAAGAAAAACGCCGCCTCGGATGTCTGCGTAGATTTTGAGTAATTACGAAATGATTTACACTGGTATTTATAGTTTTATGGGCTATTTACGAACTGAGTTCGCTGTTCACGTGGTCTGACATGCTGCTTGCGATTCTAAGAATGTTAAATTGAAATGAACTTTATTTTTTCAGTTCCAATATGAACTATTTTATAGAGTATTCTGTGTTTTAACTGCTTCGGTGATCAAGAAGTCGGTTGTGCGGCCTTTTGGGGTCGATCTTGAGCTTTGCAAGCTTGCCAATTTTGTTATGAAACATGAAAGTGTCTGGATTTGGGTCCAATTGGCAATAAGTGGTGTCTCTGTTTATTCGTCTGCTTACACCATGTCACAACAAGACGTGTAAAAGGCCATGTCAAATATATGCCATAATATTCACTCAAACATGAATTATACACATTTCGTTAGGCACGGGAATCGTGGTCGTTAATGATGACTGACCATTTCCGCAGATCAATCAGTTTTTACTATGAATTAATCGAGTGATCTGATGTTTTGCCTACTTTAATGAGGAAACGTATACTGCAAGCAGCTGTAATATCTGCTTTTTAATAAATAAGCACGTGTAAGTATGTATTAAATGTTAAACTTTTACTTGAACCGCTTTGTAATGGTTTAAAACATGAAACAACAAGGTTAATTAATATAATTAATCTCTCCAGCATTTCTTGCTTAAAAATAATCTTTAGAGTTCTCTGATTTACGTTTACTTCTTTGAGTTTCAGCTATAATCGAATACTCGGGAAACCTGACTACCGATTTTCTTAATGCTTAAATCAGTTTTCAACTCTTAACTAAGGGATTATTACCCTTCGGCCTATCTGTGTAGCAAGTATTTCTTTATACCATTTTTTCCTTGAAACTTGGAAAGCCCAGTTTTATTCATTTTTCAAACTATAAAACCAACTATTTCGTTCAAATAATTTTAAAACGAATGCAAAATACGAATCCGTTTCGTAATGTGCGGCGAGGCGGTCTAATAAAAGCGTTGGTGCATTACATATATCGAAGATTTATGCGAGTTTTGTCTCTTCAAAAATGCATAGTGACTAACTGCATGGAATCTGCTCACCCACGTACCACGAACACGTGATAATAGTGGCAGGTGGCATAGCCAGGTCTAGCCAGATCTTTACGACACTTGGTTTAAATAATGAAGTTTACAATAAATTAAGAACTAAGGAGATTACATGTGTTAGCTCGTAAAATGATTTGAAGAATGTGTAATCTATTAGAGCGTAATAAATTACATTTTTGTGTGTATGCCAATGATGAATGGATGAAAGGGCTTATGGGTAAGATATTAGGTAGTCTTGCTTGCTGTTTCGATACGCTACGATACTCCTTTGTTTTTTTGGTGGAGCTTGTAAAGAATGTTTGTTTTTTTATTGCCCCAATAAACTGATGTTATGCAAAAGTACTTATACACAATTAAAATGAAACATTTATTGCCGGGAGATATTGAGAATTTCGAAAATATAAGTCTACCTAGAAATGCATACGAGACGTCTTACTTCGATGACCGTACTGTAGCGACAATCAATGAAACATACCAAACCGCAAAAATCATAGTGGTGTTACTACACTATGAGATGAGTAGGTACTATAACTGAGGAATTTCCCAAAAACGGAATACTCTGGAAAACAATGCTTTGTGCCGCCTCGAACTACCGCATGGTGCAGTGGCTAATGAGAGAATGTGTTCATATGTACCTAATGGAAATACACATGGAAATGTAATGTGTAATGGTAATAATACAGGGTGTAAACGAAACGCTTCCGAAGAACTCCGACATGATTGTAAAAATATTTCTTATATTACCGACTTCAAAAAAAGGAGGTGGTACTGTGTTCGGCTGGTTGTTTTTTTTTAATTATTCACCGCCATTTCTGAATCGATTTCCAAAATTCTTGCTCTGTTTGAAAGGTTATACTCCCGAAATGGTCCCATTTCCATAAGGTCAGGATCTGATGATGGAATCCTAGGGAAACCAAGGGGAACTTTCGAAAATTGTAAGGGCGAGTAATGTGTCTATTATGTTTTTCAATTAGGATTTTTAAACACTACAATTTGATAAGGGTCTGGAGTCGACCTGATGATGGAGCCGACAGACAGTGGAGGGAACTCCTGATAGGTTAGAAGTCGGTGCTATAAGCTCAAATCATAATAATACAACTTAATGGCCACAAAATTGTAAATTATATGGATCTATTAATACAAAATCATAATAATAGGTATCTATTAATATAAAACATTTTTATTTTATTTTTTAAAATTAAAAGGTAACCTAACCTTAACCTTAAAGTTCTAATGAATAATTTTGTATAGAACTTATGGCGCCGACTTCTAATCTATCAGTGGGTGGGTATCAGTACTAATAATAGTTAGTTTTTGCTTTTTAGTTTTTACTTTTTGTTTTACACGGAACAAAACGATTAAAATTGTTTGCACAATTTCTTTTTGTCAGCGTTTCGGGAGGTTTACCTTTACCTACACTGTGTATGTCATACATAAAGTGTAAGGCGATCTAAAGTAGGCGTGCATCAACCGATGATAATTCCAGATTCCACAGTCTAGTACCGATAATATCGAAATTGAATTATAAATTTTATGTCCGATCGTAACGATTCAAGCCAGTTATAATCGAATGCCCATGACATCGATATTTGAAGGTATTTAATAGTTGAACAATACATATCTATTTTAATTTCCAACGCATAGGTAACACACCTCGTCCAATGCATTTCTGTGTCATAAAACTATCATCTCGTGTTCAGAATAAAATGATAAATTGCATTTTCACATCTTATATACAATGTCGTAATATCTGAGTATTTTTGCGAATTGTTTATAAATAATATCAAAGCTCTTAAAATACAATTTACACAAATAGATATCGCATCATAACATCACGCTTGTTTTTTGCCGAAGAAATTGGCAGAGATAAGAAATAAACGGTAAAGACAATAAAATATTTTGTTTCTGTTTGTTACTACAGTAAACGTTTGCTATTTATTAACTATAACGCTTTACTTTACGCTAATGGAGTAGGTACCTATTAGGTATTACCCATTATCGGCTACTGGAATGGTATCAAAAATAAAATCTACGGCAGTAATATTGTCCCGTTGGTCAAGTGCGACTGCCAGGTAAGGGGTCTCGGGTTCGGTTCCCAGGTCGAGCAAAGTACCACTGGGTTTTAAAAAAAATCTAATTAGTAGCACGGAGTCTGGAATTGGGCCCGGTATATGACAATAGGCTCACCCCCTATTACATGGGACTCATAACATAAATAGTGAAAAGTGGGCGATACATTATACAGTGGTATTAAGCGCCGTAATGTGCACCTATGCCTACTCCTTCGGGGATAAAAGGCGTGATGTTATGCAATATCCTGGTTGCACCCATTCATAGAGTGTAAATAATGAAGACTAGAAAATGATATTAAACAAGTCTATATGTTCTCATTGGTTGCTACTACCTACTTGGTGGACTTTACTCGTTCTAAAAAATCGGTTCTTTCTAGAAGTCCGAAGCGTGTGCAATATTGTCTCTAGGTAAAAACATTGACATGTGTCACAAGACACAATGATAAATCATTTTGCTTGTACAACTAATAAAAATACCTTTAGAAAGAAGCGCGAAGAACGCTTACCCTAATGACAAAACGCCTAGACAATATTTTTTCAAGGAGTCATTGGAAACAGATGTATTTATATATTATTTTTCATTTTCACACGTAAAGAATCCGTGTGTTTCGCGTGGGTTATGGCGACACTGATAAGTCAGCGGGTTCTCATCCGACTGGCGTGCGCACGAGTGGGCAGTGTTTGCGTAGCCAAGCGTAGCGCCCGCCTACGAACGTATTAATGCCTTATATGGACGTCTCAGTAACCTTTTCGAACTTTTAACAAATGAATTTTTAATAAGATTTTAATAAATTAGATTAACGATTGATTAAGCTGTATGATAATAAGTATAAGAAGCTTTTTAGAGCTTGAAATAAAGCTCTGTATAATGAAGGTTCTGAAATTAAATAAATATTAATTAATATAATTTAAATAAAGCTCTGTATAATGAAATTTCTGAAATTAAATAAAAAATACAAAATATTTCAACTGCGGTGACCATAATTTAGCAACTACAATGACGGGTAAGATTCTAATGGATAATAAGGATTTTAAGTAGGTACTCGTAATAAAGGAATATATGACAAGGGCACGAACCAAGAGTCCGAGGAGAACTTGAAGAAGTACTCATAATGTATGCAGAACAATAATTGGGTGCCAAAATTTGTAGAATATATGTTATATATGTTTTATTTTATAAAAATCTTTATAGAAGTTATTGTAATAAAAATCTTTAAAACCTCATATCATGTTTTGTCATGTAGTAAATATAAGAAAAAATCGAGCTGTTCGTAATTTAATTTAAAATAAAACACATATTTGTACTCCTTTGCAGTGAAAATATCATTAATTTCAATCAAGAATAATATTTCCTTGTCAGACGAGTGATAGAAAATAAATAGTACCAATTAATACATGTATTGTATCAAAGTAAAATACATTCACATTTTGATACATGAAATTTAGCAATTTATAATACAGTATGATATATTGTTTTACAAAATTACCACAGGAGGGCAATGGCCCCTAGATTAATGATATCGGTTGAAAGACGGCCATCAAAATTATTAATTTCGACTCCAGTAGTTTGTTTTGCGAATATTTTTTTGTTGTTAAGTAAGTCAATTTTTTCCTTTCATAATTTATTTTAATACACGAAGACATTACATTTTTTAAGCTTTAAAAGAATTTATTTTTATTTTATGGCAGAGAGGAATTTCTGTTTATTTTAATTATAATATTATTAATAATGTGTTAATAAATGATAACAAAGCGTACATAATTTCAATAAGTTTACAGAAAGGTTGTTGAGTCAGATGGCTATTTCGTATCGCGTGGTCACCGGGTGGCGAAGCGCTGCGTACGAGTTTTCCAGAAGGGCGCATCTTCAGCGCACTATAAATACCTGGACTCAGCTTTCAGGAGTTCAGTCTAGCGGTGCTTTGTACAGCGCACTAACTCCACATCTCCGCAGCCACACAAACACACACACACAACATGTCTCTGGAACGTCAAGTCCGCGCTAAGGTTAGAACATATTCAATATTATTTCTTTTTTAAATTCTGCACTTAATTTTTAGTTTATTAAAAATCAATAACTTGCGATGAATCCATAGACAAATTCCCATATAAAATGTCTACGGAAAATAAATAAAATCATCTTATTTGCTCTTTTTAAATAAAAATTACACATTCTATTTAAATTGCAGTATTTACATATTTTTATGAGGTTTTCTGTGATGTTAACGTTATAGATCAAATGATCGAAAAAAATAGGAAAGTTAACATTCATAACATGCGCTTACAAAAGTCGAACGCAAATCACCAGAAAGAACTAAGTATTTAACATATATTTTTTAAAATTCACAGTTGGCTTCCAAGCGCAACCCTGAGCAGGAGAAGGAGGCCCAGGAATGGATTGAAACAATCCTTGGTGCCAAGTTCCCCCCTGGTGAGGCTTACGAAGATGTCATCAAGGACGGTACCGTCCTCTGCCAGCTCATCAACAAGATCAAGCCTGGCTCCGTTGCCAAGATCAACACCTCTGGTGGACAGTTCAAGATGATGGAGAACATCACCAAGTAAGTTTAACTGCACTAGTTTACATATAGTTCAGATGTAAAGAATTACATAGTTGCACCATACCTACTTATCACTATTAGTATTGGTAAAAAGTAGGTACAAAAATAAAACTCTCTCTGTTGTAATCGCAACGAAGTTTTGATTTCATTGTAACTGCAGCGCGATCCGTAAATATCTTTATATTCAACTTTTGCACACGCCGTCAGCCAAATGAAAATAAAATATATTGTTGTTTTGAGGAGACAAACTGAACATAAATTAATGTCGTATTTTGTGATACAGCTTCCAGGCCGCCATTAAGGCGTACGGTGTCCCCGACATCGATGTGTTCCAGACCGTCGACCTCTGGGAGAAGAAGGACATCGCCCAGGTCACCAACACACTGTTCGCTCTCGGCCGTGAGGTGAGCACTCCACTTACTTATCCATAATTATGTCAAACACAGTACTTACAGGAGTACGTAACTACTTTGGCCCCATAAACAAGTGTTTCAACGCATCCCACCAAGAATTACGATTTTCGAAATATATACGGTATTACGCAATGAATTTTATAATCTTGTAAACATCAAGCTTTGATCGCACCCAATTTCATCATTCGTCAGTTATAATTATATCTAACACATATAGTTTACCTATTATAAACAAGTGCGATCGACGGAACAGAATCTACCAAGCATCGGATTAAATAATGTGTTCACAGATTGTTTGGTTTAAGATACGTTTAGAATTTAAGGAGTTGGCGGTGTGCCAAGTTCAACCAAATTTTACGAGCGTCTTGCAACATTACCTCAGTTTTCATAAATATCCAAGGTCGCTTGTGTAGTTGAGGCCGAGTGGGCAATATTGGATTGAAATCTTATACATTTACGGGTACTTTAAGTGGAATACTTTGACATATTTACTTATCAAAGTTGTTTGTGTTGTGTACAGACATACAGACACGCTGAATGGAGCGGCCCCTACCTGGGACCCAAGCCCGCTGAAGAATGCAAGCGTGACTTCTCCGAGGAGGTCCTGAACGCCGGCAAGACCGTGATCGGTCTCCAGGCTGGTTCCAACAAGGGCGCCACCCAGGCGGGACAGAACATGGGCGCTGGCCGCAAGATCTTGCTCGGCAAGTGAGCACCTCGCCTTCATCCAGTGATATTATTTAATAAGATATTTTTGTACAAAACTGAGATGTATGGACGCTAATGTGAGACTGTTAGCCTTATGGATATCTAGTCATGCGTGATGTGGAATTTGATCTACAGTTGTTTAGCAATGTAGTACCTTGCAGTCTGTTGCATACTTATGGTTCTTGTTATACACTCCATGTAGCGCCAAAATGATTTTGTACATAAGTGCCTAGTATTAAGATAAAATTATTTATTTCCATTTTATTATATCGTTTTATAATAAAATCCAAAACAAAAAAGAAACTATTTCATTGCTATCGACGTTCTTATTACTTGAAAAGGTACCTATTAAGTACCTATCAAAAAACTCAATACAACATCAAACCTTTTATTCCCGAAAACGGTCAGTCAATAATGCTAACATAGCCTTGGGCTGGATCCTATAATATGGGATGACCGTAATTGAACAACGGATGCAACCCTCGTTTTTGTATCATAGAAGAAGAATTTTAAAAAATTGAATACCATAATTCTGCTTTGCCTTTGCAGACATCCTCGACAGTTTAATATTATAAGTGATGAGATGTAGACACTATCGACACATTTTGTAGGAAAATTAATTAATATCTTCTATGTATCAAGGGCAATGACCCACAAAGGTGCTTAAACAAAATATAACTTTTTTAATATTCTTAAATCTTTGAACTGGTTCCAAGAGGGAAACCAATTAATTTTTTCGTTTGTTGTTGACAGCTAGTTGAATGAAGTCATCAAAACTGTTAGTTCAGTGTAACAAGCAATTTATTGTGAAAAGTTACACATTGTGGTGACGGTACTTGTACATACATTGGAGATTCGCCAGTTATGCTATACGCACCAACTGCAATGTTATGAAGAGCAATCCTATAAAACACTTAGACGGTTGACCCTGATTACATACATACATAACTTCACGCCTGTCTCTCATGGCGACTGAGAGACTATGGAACTATAGCTACGATTCTTACTGACACTAATTATTGTTCAATAATCGTAAGTTAATACAAATATTAACAAATCAAACACTGCCTTTGTCAACCTGTTGCTCGGGGCCAGAAGTGTGAATGCTAAACTAGGAGTTTAGGGTTTGAGCAGGCTTTTTACATAGTAGATATTTTTTATAATAACTGTCGTGAGACATACTAGATTAACTAATCGCAGGTTCCTCACGTAAAAATACTGAGAAAAGCTCTACTAGTTTCGAGCCACAGAGGGTCTCTTCCTTATTACCGGCGTGCGAGGTCGCGGCGATGTCACTCACTTTACATTTTTTTTTAAGTTAATATAGTAGATATTGATAAAATGACTAGTTAAAAAGTGTCTGTTATACACAATATTATTCGATTCCCGCACGGAGCAACTCTTTGTGTGATCCACAAATTGTTGTTCTGAGTCTGGGTATCATGTGCATATGAAATTGTGTATTTGTAAATGCACCTACGACACAGGAGATAATTCTAATGTGGAACAATTATTAAAAAAACGAATGGTTTCTTGTTATGTTTTGTTTTATTTATTTATTTAGATTTAGTACAAAAAACACGTGTACAGATGGACTTAATCCTTAAGCATTGTCTGACCGACCTTTAGGTGGTTTAATGGCCGATTTTTTCCAACGCCACATCAATTTTAACTGAAGAATAACTTTAAATATTTGTCAATTCTTCCATTCTAGAAAGCTGTCAAATGTCAATTTTATTCTAATGTTATGAAAAATCTGAAAATCGGTCCTTAGTAAATAACTTATCTCAAAAAATCTCTAGTGACAAGTGTGGGAGAGCCATGCTTCGGCGCGAATGGGCCGGCTCGACCGGAGTGATACCACGGCCTTACAGAAAACCGATGTGAAGCAACGCTTGCGTTGTGTTTCGTCGTGTGATTGAGGTTACCGGAGGCCCAATTACCCTCCCCTTCCCCAATCTCCCCATTTCCTGAATCCGCAACGATCCTCAAACTCCTAACCCCCAAAAGGCCGGCAACGCACTTGTAACGCCTCTGGTGTTCCAGGTGTCCATGGGCGACGCCGATTGCTGACCATCAGGTGAACCGTGTACTCGTTTACCGGCTTATGCCACAAAAAAAAATGACCTTATTATTGCTCGATATTAAACCAAACCCCTTTTACTCGATGTTCACACATGTGGCATAAGTGATTTATTGTGAAAATCACTACATTGTGATACATGCATCATTGGAGCTCAGCCAGACTCGTCGGCAGCTGCATCAGTACTTTGTATCATTAGATTTAATTATTTCACATGGTTCCTTGTTTGTTCATTGTCATAAATGTTTTATTACTTATTAATTATTATGACTACTTTTAATAAGAGATTGTAAATCATCGGGAACGTGTGTTTAATTTTCTTATCTAAAGAGTACAAAAGTATATTTTACTTTACAATCTTTAGTTTATTTATTACTATCGATCAATAATCTCAATAAAACCAGGCTCTCTTCTTATTAATAGTAATCCATTAATAGGTACCTACCCTTGTCAAATTCTATTCAACACTTGAATACTTACTATGATATTTAATTGAATTCTAATTAAATATTCCCAGAAGAAATAAGAAAGGAGTTCGTCGAAAACCATTTAATCGTAGAACCTACATCTGCTGTGTAAGTACGTAACGGTAACGTACGTACCTGAAAGGTAGGTAGTAGAAGTACCTACTACCTACCTTTAAGGTAAGAAGAAAGTTTCCTATTCAAATTATTATAAAATAATCCTGATAATTTATTGTAATTTAAAGTCTAGACACTTTAAAAAATGTTGGGGACACAAGATTGCTACTTTACATTGTGCCTAGTGCTGCCATCTAGTTTTATTGCTGTATACTACAGAAGTGACACTTTTTGGAAACTTTTATTGTTGTAGTCTATTATAGCGTGTATCTGTCCTTTATTTTTTTTATATTTGATCGGAAACTAGTGTGTAACGTTTTTAAATGTCAAAACAATCAGTTTTTTAATCACTAGTCACTTTTGCTGGTTCAGTCTTGTACCAGATAACTATCTAGTTTTCAAATTAAATAAATTCAGATATATCTGTGTTACGTAGATAATTGAAAGGTATCAATTATGGTTGTCAATGTGTCATTGACCTCAATATTGTCGGCCATGTCGTGACGATCAAATTAAATTCATTGTCTAATGTTATATTCTCGCCGATTAGACGTTTGTGATCACTTGCGGGTAGTTAATTTCATTTAGTGTAAAAATGAAGTGGATAGTGATCTTGGGTATAGTTGTGACATTAAATAATGTCATGGACGAGCGAAATGTGAGTATCTAATATTTTTTTCCAACTTATTAAATCTTAACTAATTAATACACATCTACGTCATAATCACTCTTAGCTAGTAACACGATACAACTTCTTGCAATGTTTTAAATTAGAACATACACCAGATACACGCGGTATGACCATAAATAGATATGCTACGACGTTACACTAACGACAAGCGCGTTTAACGCCGCTAAGACAAAAATAGTTCATCTTATATTTGCAACAAATAACGGCGCGGCGGCGGCGTCTGGCGGCCGTGTGCAAAACTTGCGAACGTAACGACTAACGAAAATAACGACCAACCAGCGGCGTAACGAATAACGAGGCCGTTTCACTGAAATCTTAAAATAGATTTGGCTGATGTTGGCGTAGCGGTAACGGAAGGCTCAGTCGGGCAGCGGCAGCGGAGCCTTCCGCACCGCTGTCTGCGACTCAGACAACAGATGGCGCAAATGTGCGTCCAAGCTTTGTTAGTTTTGAACACGAAAGTTAGATGGAGTTGTTAGCGTATGGGCGCTGACTTCTCCTCTAGTTACCACCCCTTTACTACAGATAGAGCCACATGGAACGGAAAGACTGAGAAGTACATGGTGAGTACAATGATTTAATTAGATTGTTACGTGTTTAGAAATCCTATTTTTGATTCTTTTTAGTATCAAATAATTTCCGAATAATATGTAACTGCAATGTAACTGTGTTTTTTCTATTAATAAATGAGATGACCGGGAATCTGTACTTTCCATTATTCTTCTTGTCTTATTGACTTATGAATATTTAACACAATAAGTTACTAACTACCTATAAGTAATCTATTCTTGCGATGCCTACTATATTAGTAACACATCTAGACACTATTTACCTAAATACAATATTAACTTACAAGCTCTTTTTTCCACAATATAAATTTAATAATAACTCCTTAAAACGACAAGATTTTTCAAATAGATACTCTGTTAAAATTCGTCTTAGATCGACGGATCTCAAATGTCACCATCGAGTTATTGGCCAAGGTTAAATTTTGAATAATTTAGTAGGAGATGGGAATTTATTCCCGGTATAGATAACAATAGGCCATAGGCGCACCCTTTCCATACATGCAATAATGCGACTCCTTACATTGTAATTGAAATGTTTTCTTCGAGTATCATACATTCACAGTTTATTGAATTATTTTAGAAACTTAATAATGTACATTTCTTAGAACACCTTGTTCTATTTACTTATATTTAGTCTCTTCGAAGAATATTATTGTTAACTATTCTTGTAATTTTGCTTGTAGCCAGTCATTACTCATTTGTTTACTGCATGAATAATTACATTTACCTACAATACCAAACTCACTGTAATCGGTGATTTATGAATTGAGAAAGGCATCTATTTTTACCGACTTCAAAAAAAGGAGGAGGTACTATGTTCGGCTGATTGTTTTTTTTTTTTTTTTTTTTTTTTTTTTGTTTGTTCGCGCAGTACTCCGCCGTTTGTGGACCGATTTCAAAAATTTTTGTTTTGTTTGAAAGGGTATACTCCCGAGATGGTCCCATTTCCATGAAGTCAGGATCTGATGATGGGATCCTAGGGAAACCGAGGGGAACTTTCGAAAATTCTATGGGGGAGTAATGCGTCTATTATGTTTTACAATTAAGAATTTTAAACACTACAATTAGATAAGGGTCTGG